ATTCTATGACTCCAGTTGTGCTGGAAACACACATGATGCAAACTTTCTCTGCTACTCAGAGGACACTGATGAGGCTTTGGTAGGCAAGGTCAAGATGTTTACCTGCTCTGATAAAGCATGAGGAGGTAAATCATCCTGTGCAACTCAAGTCATTCAGATGGTACTTTTGGCATTTCCCCCCCTCCTGCTTTTGTTCTGTCAGTCTGAAGAGAACAGCTCGTGTGATGTAATTTAGAATGGAGCTTTTTTAAAGCTTTCACTCAGGAAAAGCTTCAGGAGCTCTGGGGGTATAGCTTAGCTCGGAGAAATAGAAAGAAAGCAAGTTTGCATTGACAGCTTGATCCCAGAGAGAGGTGGCTGCCTGCTTGTCTAACAGGTCCTCTGGGTCTGGATGAGGCAGAGACAGAGGAGCAGTCATATTAAGTGAACGCGCGCTGCCAATGTTAAAGGAACAATTACCATTATTCTGCATAGTTCACTGTTTGCTACTGCTATTTCCTTCAATAAAACCTCTTTTCACTTGCCAATTGGAGCTTGTCATGTAACAATATTTCTTATGCACAATACACATACTAAAATGCCCCTGTGTTTTTAATACATTTATAGTTGTTAACAATAGCGGTACAGCGACAGAAAAAAACTGTACTTGCTTTGAATACAGAACAGACTGAAAAAAGAATAAACCAGTGGCCCTGCTCTGAGGGATTAATGGGGGTTAGATTTTGCCTAATCTGTGTTAAAATAGTGACACTGCCATTTGTTTGACACCCACTTCTTCCTCTCAGGGCCTGGGCTGTGACCTCCTCACTTGGAGGGGGTTGTACACCTGAGCCCTGTGCAAGACTTCAGTGATGATTTTGATGTCAGGGAGTGTTGAGGAGAGCACTGTGCTCTCACCTGCCCCTGTGCCTGGGCAGGAGATGGACAAGGGGTGCCACTCCTGTGGCCTTGGCAAGCCCAGCCTGCTGAAGGCTGACCAAATCCTTCAATCCTTGTGTGTGGTGCGCAGGCAGGTGGGAGCTGTGCTACCCTCCAGCAGCACCCGAAACTCTGGTGCTCAGTGCCTGTATCAGGCTAACAAAACTCCCTGTGAATGCAGCTCCTGGTGAAGCAGGACAAACAGACAGCTTTGGGGAGATGGGCATTTTCCTGGGGCTGTGCAGCTCTGCAGCTCTCCTCCAAGAGCTCACACAATGGAGACATTGTGCTACTGCTGCACTTGCCAGCATCACAAAGCCAGGTGGAAATGACCGCAGTGAAGGAGCCACAGTGAGAAGAAATTATGTGTTTGCACTTCTGAGCAGGCTGAACCTCATATTTCATGCACCCAAAAGAACAAGCAGCTGTTCGGGAACCTTTGTATCACAATCATGAAGGAAACTTTCTTCTGCCATAAGATTTGTGTTTTCTAAGAACACTATTTTCTTCAGAACAAGTTAATATACACAGGAAAAGACATCTTGAGTGTTCCTGACTCTCCTACACTATCCAGGAATAGTGATAGACTGCGAGTTTAAACACATTCTTCCACTGCACAGTGAGAGAAGTGTGTTTAATGCTGTGAGCAGAACACTTACCATGTTTGCCTTTGCCAGAGCCGGCAAGACTACACCGTTTTAGGAGTACTTATTACATACATAAGTAACAGAGGATGTCATCTGTCTGCCCCCAGAATAGATGTTCTGCATCTTCGGTGCAGGGGGAAAAAGGGATTTGTGAAAAGATGCACAGCATGATACAACTTCTGCTTCAGATATTGCTAATTGCTTTATCTGTGGCTTTTTCTGAGGAGAAGAGCAAAGAAACCCAGAGAAGGCCACCATATTGGAGGCTGGTTTGGAGCCTGATCTGACCTCCCTGGATTTGTTTTCTCTGACATCTGGTGATACAGGATCAAGCCCTTGTGAAGATAAATAAGTAGTTTTCCAGCATGGTCCAGCACAGCCTGTTCTGCAACACCTGGGGAGGTGCTCAGATGGCAATAAGATTAATAATGTTTATTACAGTGTGCAAGTCCAGCTCCCAGTTGTGTTCCAGCATGGCATGCAAGCAAGAGAGAAACAAATGGAAGTGTTTGCTAGGAAAGTCTCATAGAAGACATAAGACTCTCACAGATTGCCATTCACCATTGGGTTCAAATCAAAGAAAAGCTTTTATAACTTAGTAGAAGATATGGAGAGTTGTAGTCATATATTATCATGTGTTAATTTATCACCAGTAGAGCTCTAAGGACTGTCTGTGAGAAATGCTGCATCTTCTGTGATTTGCACCTCTGTTTCACAGCATTTAAAATGTTTGGATTTATTTTAATATATATGGGTTTGATGGTGTTCATATATGTGGGTTTGTTGGTGCTTCCCCCCACCAAATGAAAATGCTGACAGTCTCAGAGCTGCTGTGGCATTAGTGCTGTGCAAGGATATCTTTGTGACCATAACTGTGTGTAATGCCTGCTTTGGGAATAAACTCTTGGCACATAACTTCAGTGTCATTCAGAAAGTGGCACAGTTGTCAAGGACCTTGGGACATGAAGGGAAGACATGCTGTCTTTTCATTGGAAAGTTCACAAATTCTGCCTAGAGATCCCTCTGATATTTTCACTTTTCAATACACAGTGCTTACCAAAAATAAAACTGAGAATTTTAAGTGCTTTCCAAATTTAATGACACAGAGTTTTACATGGAAAAAATTTCTTTTGTAATAAACTCAGCATTTTCTGTTTTATATTGCCTTATAAATTTCCCCAGCTAAAGAGTGAGCAATTACATGAGGATATCCATGGGTGAAACCTACCTTTAATTACTGTGCCAGCATATTAAATAAAGCTCCATCCACTTCTGGCTGCTCAGCTCAGGTTAGGATTTTGTTTCTGAAACTTGATCATATTGGCAGACAACCTTAACCTCATTGTGGGGTGAGTCATTAACCATGAGAGGAAGGAAGAGTGAATTAATGCAGCAGTGACATCGAGGCAACAACAACAATTGTGAAGTTTGTTTTTTCTCTGCTTTGGAAACAACAAGGTCAATTCAGATGAGACAATACATCAAACCTTCCAGTTTTACTCTCTTCAGTGAGGAATAAAGAGAATTGAAGAGGTTTGAGTTAGCCCTGCAAAACAAGAAGCTGTCCATGAGCACTGGGATGGATCTGCCCCAGCAGCCACTGAGGGGTGTGCAGGCAGCCCCATCAGAGCGTGGCCTCAGGGGCTCTGTGTGGTGCTGTGCATCCCAAATCCCAGCCTGGGGAAGAGAACAGGGACTGGCAGAGCCATGTGGTGACTGGAGTCACCTACTGATGTCAATAAAAGCAAACATTGCTAAGCCCTCCACTTGGAGGGGGAAGGACAGGGCTGTGTGTTTTCAGTTCAGGTTCAGTTTGTGACTTGTTCTGAGTTTCTTAATTATCCCTTTTAACAAAAGTCTTCAGAGTGCAGATTAAAACAAAACAAAAAAAAGAAACAAAATAATCTGGAAAGCAGACTTTAGCTTCATTTACAACACTACTTAGGGCTGTTTCATATAACAGGGCCACCACACAAGGTCCTCCCCATCCCTGGAGTGTTGAAGGCCAGGTTCCACAGGGCTTGGAGCAACCTGGTCTAGTGGAAAGTGCCCCTGCCCATGGTGGGTGGTTGGAACTAGATGGCCTTTCAGTCCCTTCCAACCCAAACCACTCTAAAATTCAGTAAAACAAAAAAATCCACTCTGGGCTTAAATACAACTTCAGGTATAGCCACTCCATCTCAGTGACTTCCAGAGAGGATGATCTCTTTCAAGACCTGCTGGAATAACAACAGGGTGCCAGGATGCTCTGATCATGAAATTCAAAACAGGCAAAAGATTTTAAAAAATTACCTAACAGCAAGAAGCATGTGAAATGCCACGAGATCCTGCTGCTCCCTGGGTAACTACAATTCCTGTAATAGATTTATCTCATGGATGCCATTTCAAAAAGTCATGACCACCAGGATAGAAATAAGGACCTAAAGAAAGATGTGACAGGGAAAGAAAACAGTGGCTGCAGGGGAATTTGGGAGAGACAATCTACAAACAAGTCCTGAGGGCTCCAATAAGGCTCTCCTGAAGAGTGCACAGCTGTATCCCACATCCAGCCCCACAGGTTTCAGGGATTACCTTGCCTGTTGACCAGCTGATGTTGCATTTCTGCTGCAGTTAACACTTGATACCAAAGCTGTGAGGTTCCTGTGAAAATTCAGTGATTTGTCCTGGTGCTTATCAGCCAAGGGCTCCTGAGGACCTCCCAGACAGGGAGCAATGGACAAGAAGGGCTCTGGGCAGGCCCTGTAAACCAGCCAGTGAACACACACTGAATTTTTCTATTGTGGTCATTTAGGGCATGAATTATGCCCAGCCTTTAACACAGATGATGATGTCTGATGCAACAGGGACTGTGGACATAAAAACCTTTCCATAAATTGCTCAGTCCCCCTTCTTGTAAAGTTGTTACAACTCCAAGGTGTAAGAGAACAGCATAAAATTCACACTGATCCCTTCAATTCTTTTTTAAGCATCCTTAAATCCAGCTCTTTTTTTCCTGCTATACATCTTACTTTTTATAGTTAAAAGTAATTTTAAAGCAAAAAAGAACATAAACAATATACACTGACTCTTGACACTCCATTGCTTTTTTAAACTAGAATAATAAAAATTTGCAAATGAACAAAAGAGTGGGAGGAAGATATCTGATTTACAATGTTTTTGAGATAAAGAACACTATAAAAAAAGATCAATGTGAATAATAAAGCATTGTTAACTGAGTCATGACATTTCTATTCTCAGTGAAGATTTGAACAGTAGAGCTCTGCAAATGAGCACCTTGTGCCATTTTCAAAGTGGGAGGAAGACATATAATTATAATTTTTAAAGTGAAGAGAATTTAAAAAAAAAAAATCTCTGTGAAAAAGTTTATTGAAAAACATATCGACATATCAATATGACATAAATTACTTTAATTTTATTAAACTGGGAGGGGGGAAAACCTCTTTTTGAAGAATGGCTGCAGAAAGCATTCCTTGAAAAGAATTTTCTTTATTAAAAACTCTTTGCTAAGATGAAACAGCACTGAATGTCAGCACTACCGTATATTTATTCTGTAACTCTTCCAACAGCCGAGATCTATAAAAGAAACATATTTTCAAAACAGTTTTAACCTCCATTGTCTTGATCATTCATATTAACATTTTTCATGTCACCTATTGAAATCCCTTAAAGGAACCTTTTATTCAGTCAAAATTAATGAAGCCGTTTTCTTAAACAGTCTCCAAAAAGTAAAAAGGACGTAATGTTGTGCATTTTATTTGACATACGTTTTCTGCCATTTCACTTATTTGTGTGATGAGAGCAATACTTCATATTTATGCTATCAAATCTGCAGAGAAAAGTGATTTTGAGAGAGAAGAAAAACCAACTCTGCTCTTGCTGTGTGTGCAATTTAAATCCACAGCGAAAATACAGCATTGATCAGATTACTCCAATTGAGTCATTTAGTGCTTTGGCATTCCTGAAGTTAGGGCCCAGCTGTGAAATCATAGTTGGGGCCAAACATTGCTGTTAGGTGAGTGCACATGGCTCCCATTTTCTTCAAAGGGAATGACACACATGGCCAATATTTAGCTTTCACCTCTTCCATTCTTTAGCTAGCAAAGCCAGAACCAGTGGAGTATATGCAGGCAATTTAACAGAATTAAGAAAACAATCAAGATTTTCCAGGACTTAGTAGTGATTTGGGATATATTATTCAATACACATCAAAATACAGATGCTCAGCATATTCTGAAAATCAGGCCATCTCAAATGTCTTGCTTTAAGCAGGTAAAATCATAAATTACTCTGGGTATTTTGGCCATTAGATCCTAACAAACTAGGTGTAATACATATCTTCAAAATGATAAAACTCCTATTTCTGGCTTGGGAGAATTACAACATCCCAACCAAATTTTGTTCCTGTGGTGGCACACAGTTCTCCCCTGCTGTTACCATTATTTGAACACAGTGCAGGTGCCCTTCTGCAGCAGGTGACCCTTGGGGAATATCCAGGGCCAGGCTCTGCAGGTCCCCTGGGATGCACTGAGCTGCTGGGATGGCCTACAAGACCTTACAGTGTGCCACAGAGAGAAAAAAGGATGAATCCCAAAAATCTAGCTGTCCCATGCTGCATGCAGATCTCCATTTCAACTCAAGGTCAAGCGGAAAACTTTTCTACCATCCTTGCTGACTCTCCTCTTCACTTTCTCCTGACTCCATCTGTTCCTCACCCTTCTCCTTCGTTCCGCACTCGCCTCCCTCTTCTTCCTGTGTCCATCTGTTCCCTCCTTCCTCAACACAAGTTGGGGAAGGGAAGTAAATTCAGTCATTCACTGAACAGATTTCAAGATGAACCCCCTCCCTCTCCAGTTCTAACTTCATTCATCATGGTAAAAATTATAATGAATAGAAATGTTGAAGGTGAAAATTTATTAGGGATTGTGTTGCTTTCTTATATGAAAAGCAGTTAAAGCGGCATATAAACATTGGCTTCATTCATTTTTTCTTAATATATGGTATAATTAGTGAGAAATATTAGTGGAAGTGCTTGCTATGCAGTCCATCAACACACGGCTGTCAGAGCTTAGGATCTGGGCCAAAAGTTTTTGCCAGTCCTGTGATAGATTTACAATAAGCCTATAGAAGGCTTTACAGTTAGCTGGGTCACTAATTCATGAAGTTAAAACGTATGCAATGAGGTCAAAAATTCACTATTGATAAAATACCCCCTCCCGGGATTGCACCATTAGCTTTGTTACTGCAACAGCAAAATAAAGCAAACCCAAAGCTCCTGTGAATTCCCAGTCCATCATCGTAAATCAGCAGTGAAGCACTTGCACGAGTTCATGATGTCATCTGAAGCCTGGGATATATTTATAGCCTTGTGTACTATTTCCTGTTTCCTTACGACAAAAATAAACAGTCTCCAAATCCCCTGCATCCTTCTGCCTGAGCTCAGCAGAATGTAATGGGCACGAATCTCTGAAAGCCCCCGTGATATATTGGTCTAGAGCAGCTCCCTTCTGATGGGCCACGGCGCCCGCGCTCCCTCCGGCCTCTCCCATGTGGGCGGCAGCAGCTCCCATGGGGTTTTTCTCCATCTGCTGCACTCACTGCTGGGATAGTCCCACACCCCCTCCTACTTTGCCTCCCTGACACTTGGAGAGAGCAGGAAAGAAGATTTAAGCCTCCAAGCCTTAGGCATGGAGTGAACAGCCTGGCAGGCGCATCCAAGGTGGAGGAGCTCAGCCTTGCTCCGTGTGGGGACCTGGGCTTGCCACCACCTGTGGGGACCTTGGGCATCTTGTCCACCAAGACTGCCAAGCCATGAAGGTTGGAGTTTGGGCTTAAATTTCCTCTCTCCTCTTTTGCTGATGATTTGGGATCCTCATCTAAGGTTTCTGGGGCGTTTGGGCATGGATGATGCCCCACATTTCATCTCTGACCTTCCAGCTCCCAGATTTTCTGTACCTACCTGAATTGCTGTGTTTGCTGGTGATCCTCTTCACCTCTTCTTGGGTGGAACTTTCTCTCCTGGCAGTTGTTTTATTTTTTGCTTCCTTTCTTGAAACAAGACAGAGGGTAACACAAACAGCACACCATGCCAGGTAACCTCCCTCTGCAAGGAAGCGCACTTGCTTCTGTTTGACCTCAGAGCAACAATGCCTGAGGTCAATGACTGTCACTAAGCGGCTGAGGGTGATAGCTGTGCCAGACCACATTTATTTGACATTTATCCCTCTTCAATTTTGTCTTCTTCTCTCCACCAAGACCGTCGCACCAGCTCCCTGCCTCTACTGGCCCTCCCTGGGGTGACGCCGAGCAGTGAGGACCATCCAGGTAAGCTGCTGGCACATGCATGCAGAGATACTCCCTCCTTGGCAGGCTATTACATCCCTTAAACAATCAAGAAAAAGTGTTTTGTTTTCCTTTGGCTTTTGCTCTTTTGAAGCACTGCTGTCAAACCCTGAGGTTTGGGTTTCATCGTTCTGTGAGTCCTTTCAGACCAAGTGAGTTCAGATCAAGCCTTCATAGGTACAAGTTTTCATCCATCAGGTCTGGTGTAGCTCTGCCTGTGTCATCTCAGGACTGAACGGACATGGCACACGGCTTGTTCAGTGATGAGCATGTGATACATTTAACAGACAGGTAGCACAGCAGGGCACGGGATAAAAAGCAGCGTTCCCTTGGTGGTTTTGCTGCGCTGATACACCAACATGCCTCAGGGGAAAATTAAAAAGTTACAGGTCCTAAACTGCTGCAGTTTTCCACACAGTTTAGCATTAACCTTTGGGACTCCTTGCAGCAGGGGCGTGAGACAAAGGGCCACTGCCAGGATGGACTTGGAACAAATGCCAGCATTGAGTAGAGCCACAGGCTCCCTTGTCCTTTGCTTGTAAGATGTGGATGAGCCCTAGGAGGGTCAGAGATCAATTCTCCTTCTCCTTCAGTGGAGTCTCCTCCTAAACAGTTGCTCCAAGAGCTGCTTTGGATCACCTGCATTGCTGCAGTCGCTGTTCAGCAGAACAGACCACCTCTTAAATCCTCTGTCCCTTATCACAAATAGACTTGGAGCCCTCCTATGCCTCTGTACTAAATCTAATTTCAGAAGGACGCAGGGAATCTGCAGACTCCTCTTCTCCAGGACTGCAAGATGCTGGTTTGTGCCTAAAGCCAGTGAAGAGAAATAGAGGTCAGGGGACATACTGCAAATGCCAGTCTTGGTATCACTGCTCCTCCCTATTAACCAGTGGGATCTGAGGCTGGCATCAGTGGAAAGTAAGTGATTTACTTTGTGCTTTCATGAATTTAGACTCCATAGTCAGCCATCTGAATCGCCCAACTCCAAAAAGAAAAAGAAAAAAGAAATTCCATGTGAGTATTGAGACCGTCTTTAATACAAACATGGGTGAACGATCCCAGGCTTCTACTGCAACAGCCAAGGCGAGTCCCAGCTTCCCCATGTGAGGAAGAAAGTTGCTACTTCATACTATTTAAAAATGGCACATTGTGGGGGTGTACCTTTAGCAGCCTCTGCCTAACAGTCTAACACTGAATAATCTGAGATTTCTTCATCATGATACACTTATTTTTCTCTTTAAGTTCACTTCAGTCATTGATTTCTATATGTTAAAAACACAGACATATGTGGACATTTGAAGCTGAACACAGGCTCTTAAAAGAGAGTCGCAAAATTTGACCCTCTTCCCATCTCTAATTGTAATTTAGGGGCTTTTTATATTCTCATTTAACTATAATCATAAATAGTATCAGTGCTATGTAATATATTTTTAAAGCCTATTTGGCTATATCTATTTGTTCCAAACTCTCAACCTACTACTGTTCCATCCAGCAACAAACTATAATGGGAAAAAAAAAAAAAAAAAGTGCTAACCACCTTTTTTTTTTCCTGCTGGTCTAGCACAATCTTTATTTCTTCAGACACTTTGTGCAAACATTAAATTGATAAAAGACGTAATGTAGATGGACCCACAGCTGAACTGAAGGTAATTGCATAAAAATGAAATGGAGACCTATAATTGTACACTGCTTTAGCCTCTCCCGCAGTGTTTTCTGGAAGCAAGGATCTCACTTGTCATAGCAAGTTGCTTGTTACAGTGATTGCATGAAGACTTGATCTAGCTGTACAAGACAAGTATAACATTACTGAAAGGGAGCTTTTCAAACTAAGAGTCTGACACTAAAATGTACTGTATTTTCCAAGATGTAGTATGCTTTAACAAACAGAAGAGTCCCTGAGTGACAGCTTTTGTTACCCTTTTGTTTGATGGTGCTGTATTGAAAAATTCAGGTTATGTCTATGCCTTTCTATTTCTGGTTTTGATTTCTCTTCAACAGCACTTCAAGAATAAAAATTGACTCAAAGTATGAATAGTAGAAGTCGGTGGATACAGTAAATGTTAGTCTGGCATTTACTGATTACTTCTGTCAGACTTTTTTTTCAGTCTCGCTACTTGAATGCTTAAATGCATTCCGTGGGCCATTGCATTGTTGCAGAATTGGGGAACTCAACAGATATATCATGAATTGAAACATATCTAGTTTAGATTTTTGGTCAGATTTTGAAAGTGGAAAATAATAGTTATTCTTGCCTGAGCCTTTTGATCTGATCCATGTGTATCCAAAGGCTGAGCCTGGGTGCAGCTCTCGGTGTGAACAAACAGGACCCATTTGTAATATTGGCACCTGAATAACAGGTAGGGCTTGTGTCCTCTGGACTCACAAAACAATTGTTATCCAATAAATCCAATGCATAAGCAGGGCATTGCTTCCTCCTGAGCTCAGCTGCTTTAATCAGCACAATCTTTCCTGGAGATGGCTTGTTATTGAATGAAAGTGCAGGAAACTTGTGGAATGTCATTGATTTAGGAACACTGGAAAACAGTCATGACTGTACATGTAAGGACATCCAAAACACATGAGTTTTCACATTCTGGACTGAAGAGGCTGGCCAAGAAGTCAGAGAGGGGGTAAAAAAGAAGCTGTATTTGCTTCCTCTGAGGGCAAAACCATCAACAAATCATCACAGATGGGCAAACCTTGACATGCATAGCCCTGGATACTGCTCACACAGAAGGTCTTCCAGACCCCACATCACTTCAGGGCCTTCACTGGACTTGAACTAGATACCACTCATCTCTCAAATCCTTGCTTCTCCCTTCTCCAAGCCTCATGGTTCCACTGGTTTTTCACTTATCCTGCAATCCATCCATCCCATCCACTTTTCTTCCTCTCAGCTGCAAGGATATGGGGGGAACAGCTGCAGTCTCATCAAGGTTTCACTCTCTGTCAGCCTTTCCTTGGCTTTCCTTTAACATGTGTCAGAAGTCAAAGGTACCTAAAACCCAAGAGACACGCAGGGCCTCTCCTCAGCCTCCTTGCAGCCAAGTGCAGATGAACCACTCTAGAGCACTTACAGTTCCTCTCAGAAAGTAGCATTTGCAAAACTGAGGTGTTTGTAAAGATTGATTTTCTGTATATAGCTCAAGAGCAAGCATATCACAAGATTTAAGTGAGATAAAAAGTGAGGCTGTGCTTGATGCGAGGTGCAGGAGTTAATCAGCTGTAGATAAGAACTGATGAGGTTTTATCATCCCCGCCATGGAGAGAATGACTGAGTTTCTTGTCCACTTGATCACTTCAGAGAGTGAGTGAAACTGTATATCAACCCGTGTTTATCTGTGCCTGAGAAGTTCTTCAAGAATAAATTGAACTCAGAACTCTTCTTAACCTTTCCCCTAGTTGGGGCTTAAAATTAAGCTCTCCCTCTGGTTTTTGAGCTGCCTGTCTGGCACGCTGACAGCATGTGAAGTATCCCATCTCCTAGCTGACTTCCAGGCCAACAACTCAAGTGGGGATGAAGTTATGAAATAAGGAATCTGGATGCTAAACAGAGACCATCTGGCTGTCTTTGCTACAAGATTATGAGCCACGGTGAGCTGGCACATCTGCATCCAGGTACCGCCTACGTGCACATTGTTGGCTGTTAATTTAGGGATGCAAAGTTGCAGCTGAAAAATAACAAGATATTTGTTTTGCCTTCTTTTATGTCACAAATTGAAGTTAGGGTATCAAACTCGAAATAGATGTCAACTGAGGCAATAGTTCTGTTTTCTTTCCAAACCTGATCCCACCCACTGGAAGTTAATTATTACTTAGCCTCTAAATCCTCTGGGTTTAAGAGAAAACCTTAGAAAGCAAGTTCACAAATAATTTTACTGTGAATAAACCTCTGTAAAGAGACCGAAATCATTAGGTAAGAAGGGTTAGGCCTTGGAAGTAAACAACTGTAGGTTTGAAAATTCTGCATATGCTATTCTTTCAGATCTCTGCCTTAGTATCACAGTCTTTTTTTTCCTAATCCCACCAGATAACCAGCTTACAAATGAAAAACACACAGATGAAAAGACTATGAAAGGTATTGTTATGAGTTCTGTCGCAGAATTCAGCATCACAGACGCTTCATCAAAGGGTACCAAAAATGAGAAGAAATTGTCAGATGCAAGCAGATCATCCATTGCTTCCCTGGAGAAATGCAGAGAATTCACTTACATTGAAGATGATGCATCAGTACATCAGAGAGACAGTGACGGTATGTTTTATAAAGCAGATCACATTTGAGCTGATTTCTAAATAATGCCCACTGCAAAAGAACTATGTATAACCAACTCAAAATTAAATGTAGAACAGGAGGTTCAAGAACATCGCCAAAAGCAATGTTAAGTTGCCCTGCAGACATTTGTGTGATAGATGAGAATTTCTAGAAGATGATCTTAAATTGTCAGTGATACTAAAGTCGTAGAAGAGGAGCTTAGAGCCTATTGTGCCACAGAGCATTTGTACTTTAGTAATGAGTGTTTGCACAGAAGCACCAGTGTCAGTATCAGATAAATCTATTCCTGGTTATTCCAGTGGATGTTAAAAAAAGGCTCTGTGAAGTATTTTAGAAGTTTCTTTTGAGTGCCTTTTGCAATAATGGATTAGTGTGTTATATCCAGTGGAGCTGGGACCTGTCATGAATATCATTTAGCAATTCCTAAATTAAGCATTTCTAAGTACAGACCAACACAATAAAGTGCCCTGTTCTCCAGGAATCATTAACATCTCTATTGTGTCACAGATCCTTACAAAAGGGACGTCTCTGATACATCTGTTAAAATACCCTTAATTTCAAGGAAGGATCTGAAGTATTTATTTTATTTAGGGGACTTTTCCTCTTGTCCAGACACTCCCTATTTTTGACTTTGAGAACTATCTCAACCATTACTGGCACACAGGTGTGTCCCATGTGATGAAAATAACAGATTTCATTCTCCTTAAAAAAGCTAAATGTGAAGGAAATTAACAACAAAAAAACCCCCAATCTGTGCTTAATTAATAATGTTAAGGGCTGGATTGAAGCCAAGAAAACCAAAGGAAGACAGATTTGTGGTTGTCACTGCATACTCAGCTCCCTCCACTCTGACAACTTACTGCTTATTCCACATACACAAGGCCAAATCCTGTTTGCTGGTGCTTGGAGAACCTCTGAAGGCAGAGCAATATATCAGGAAATTGGTGATTATTTTGTTCCCTGTGCTCAGGCAAGAGCAAACACAACACTCACAGGTCTCACCAAGGATGACCAGAAAGGCTCCAGCAAGCTCTGGACCAGAGTTGTTCAGAGCATCATCTGTGTGAGCAGATGCCACCAAACAAGAGCAGGAAAACTTAGAGATGAGGCATGTTAGAAAAATTATTATAAATTCTTCTTTTGTGCTAATTAATCTACTAATGTAGGGAATGAGAGCTGAGGTCATTGTTCTCACTGAGATAAACGCAGTAATGCCGTTTGGCAAACAGCAGGGAAAGCAGAGGGGAAAACAAGAGATTGCATCTTCTTTTATGCAGTTTGTGGCTAATTTATTTTCAAATATATAAATGAATGCATAGGAATGGATGTCTAATTGCTAATATCTATTATTTATATACATTACCCCACTTAAAACAGGACCAAAAAGCCTCACACATGCAGATTTTTTGAAATGTGTTACATCCATTATCACAGTTCATGGTGTGTGCTCTGATGGGAATTTAAAAGCATCTTTACTGCACATCACAGAGTCTGTGCTGAAACATTACTTTATTATTAAAATCTTGTGCTTTTTGTGTGCTCTCTTTCCTGGATGAAGCCCTAAGAATCATATCTATTCTCTCCAGATTACATAAGCACCATTATGGTTAACACATTCGTGGAAAAAAACCTGTTATTAAAAAAATGAATCTTTGGAGAGGGAGAAAAAAAAAATTGCCAAAATCCTTAATTAAGACATAATTTTGAATTCTGTCTCTCATATCAATGTATAGGAAAAAAATTTCATAAACATAAGAGGTCTAAAAAGAATAGTCTTAATTACACCAAGGACTACTGCATAAAATGATTACATTTTCTACAGTGTAAATCTCATACAATTAAATGCAGTGGTGTCACCTTATTAAATGTTTCAATTTTATAATTATTTCAGTTCATTTAGCTAGAAAAAAATATAAGCATGAATTTACCAAGTATCACCAAAATCTAGTCATTCTTATTTGACAGAACTGATTTGGAAGTTAGTTGTGCTTGTCTGAACCTAAAGAGATCTTGACATATTTAAATAAGTATTAAAATTGATAAAATTGGTGCTAAGATGCCACTTAGAAGTTCAGAAGTATGCTATTTGTTCTTGCTACCTGCTTGAACTGCTTTTTTAATAAAGAAGCTGGAATGATTTTTTTTTCAATTTTGTTTTTCATCAAGAAGAGCATTCTAAAAAAAAAAAAAAGGCATAATTCTGGAAACTTCCTGGCAGTGAATTTAATGTTACGTGAGCTAGAAAATGCCACAACAGAACCAATGCAGTTGAATGAGTTCACAGTTAGTCATCCTAGGGCAAGAAATGTGGTTATAACCATATGCTTTCCTGAAAGAACCAATGAAAAGACATTCATATTGTTGAAGGCATTTTTCCATTCCAAAAACAAGAAGGGAAAAAAAAAAAAAAAAAGAAAGAAAAAGGAAAGGTCTGGGTCTGTTCTCCAACTGGATTCACACAGTTGGAATCTCACACCTGCTGCACCCAAGCAGCCTCCCCAGATGCTGGAGGCTGAGGGGTGGGAGTTACTTAGTTGATTTTGGGAGGGCACAAACATAGCACAGAGTTTTTAGTCATGGTGACCAAGTTTTCAGGAATATTCACTGGCTCCAGACTCACATCCTACACAATCTATTTTCCAAACTTTCGTTTCCTTTGAAAAACTGACATTTGTGAAGGAAAAGGTGAGAACTCTGTTTGGTGGGGAGTTGGCAGGACCCTGAGCTGAGATTCAGCCAGCACACTGCCCTCTCTGAATGCTCTTCTCCAGACCTCCTCTCCCTCCCTGTTCTTGGTAGTCCTTAAAAATTTTTAGTGCAAACTCTTGTGAAAATGAAAATAAACTCCAGTGTCACCTGTGCTGGTGTTGTGGTTTAATCCAAGGGAGCAACTCCACCCCACACAACCCCTCACTCACTGCCCCACTGCAGAATGGGGGTACCAGAGGGATAGAAGGAAGAAAACTCATGGGATGAGATAAATACATTTTAATAGGACAGAAAAGGAATAATAATAGTAATAATAATAATAATAATAATAATAATAATAATAAATAATTAGAATATACAAAACAAGGGATACACATTGCAATTACTCACCACTCACCAACTGATGCCCAGTCAGTTATCTGAGCAGAAAACCCTGCTCTTTTTCTTCCTAATTTATATTGATGCCATATGGTCTGGAATATCCTTCTAGCCAGTTGGGGTCAGCTGTTCTGGTTGTGTCCCCTCCCATCTTCTTGTGCCTCTCCAGCCTCCTTGCTGTCTGGGCATGAGAAGATAAAATCTGGTTTAAAGGGCTTGTTCTTCTGAATTTCACTGCTACAGAATATTTCCATTCAAATTCATTTCATACAGCTGTTTGGTTTTTTTCCAGAGCAAATAAAACAGAAAATAAACTTTTCACTTGTCTCTATGGAAGCAGTTCTCATCAATGTGTTTTTAGCTCACCCCTCTCACCTCTGTGTAGCCACACTGGCCTAAACCTGGGTTATCCCAGCTCACGCTTGTTCTTACATCTCCCTGCTTTTCCTTTCTCTTAGATGAATGCGCAACACTTATCCTGGCCTGCTTGTTCTGCCAGTTTTGGGACTTTCTTATAATGCTACCTGATACCTGTGAACATTGGCTGACAGATACCTGTTGTCCATCCAATAGATATTACCAGACCTCCGACGAAGACCACGGCAACAACGACTGCAACTGTGACTGTGACATTGATTGCAGCCTCTTTGAGTCCTGCCACGAGACTGGGGAGTGCCTGGAACTCGCCATGGAGATTTCAGAAGTCTGCTATCGCTAATAATTCCTCAAAACTACCTGACAGATTGCAAAGGAGATTTTTTTTTTTTTTTTAAATATTAATCATAACCAGAGGTTTTGGCAATGAGGACTATGTGCATCTTGTTGCTGCCTCCCTGGAGGTCTCTATATCTGTACCATTCTGGTGGCATGATATCACAAGCTGCTGAAACCAATAAAGGACAAAAAAGGGTCTTCTCTGCCATAGATGACAACAGAATTCCTAAGTGCCAAGTGTGCTCACTGCTTTACCCACTGTCAATCCAAGCTTTTATAAACCTCTAATTGCTTTAAACACAGATTTCCCCATTCATAAACACAGAACAAATTAGGACATTATTTTAGGACTGATATATATACTAGTTCATCTTCCTAATGGATTCATACCTAAACATGTATTACACATTGTTGGTTATTATAAATAATTTATGATAGAGCATTATTTTATAATTAAAAATTTATTTATTCAATCTCTTAAAACACTCCTATATGCCCAGTATAGGTAGGAGAAAAAAATTAAATGAATAAGAAACCATGCTACTGGTAATTACAGCAAATGTCACAAAAAAATCTCCAGTGAATTTTGTGGAGGAAGAATTTTCACAGGGTAGTGCAATTCGACAGCAAATTAATGTGCTGGCCCATGGTTATGCAATAACAGGTTCTGCCTATTGTTCACTAGTTATAGGAAAGGGCTCCTTAAGTGTAATTAACGTAAATGGGAACTGACTTCACACTTTTAGAGGAGAATTACCCAGTGGATACTAGTAACTCCTTTGTTTGATTTTCATTTGTAGGACTTCTGCAAGAAACAGAATATTGCCACCTATTCCAGTGCAAACAGGCATCTCCACCTGTGCACAAAAGATTACAAAATGACAGTATCTATCCTGGTTGTGCTTTCAAACTCCCTCTATCTCTTTTTTGATGGGAGGTCTGATTAATAAAAAGGAAATACATGTTGTACATTACAACAAAAGCATGTAAACTCAGCTGCCTGAGGATGCAGAACACAGGTATTAAGCACAGAGGAAAATACAGAGTTGTTTGCTCAAATTAGGTATTTATAGACTAAAACAAAAGTCAGTGTTTGATTTGTATAAGAACTAAAATTTCTCCCAAAAACCCCACTAAACTCAGTGTAGAAGTGTTTGTGGAATCCCAAAAAAGGATCCTGGGAAAGATACTGGGACATTAAACATTTCTAAAATCATTGAAGCCGCTTGTTTATTAACCAGAGTAGTCCAGGTACAAAAATATTTAATGGGGGGGGAAAAAATTAGGTGTATATCCTTTCCTTACTCCTCTTCTGGAGTAAAGAAGTAGAACCACTAACAACCATTGTCCAGGTGTCTAACAAAGCCTAGGGACCAGAAGACAGCAAACCTCAGCAATGCAGAGAGCAGCCCAGAACACCTCATTTCTCTGCTCCTTCCAGGACATGGTGGGGAATAGGAGAGATTTGTTTTTCTTGCATTGTCCCATTGTGGGCTGTAGTCACCCACAGGAACTAAATCATTAGTCCTTCCTCACCACTCCAGTCCCAGCCTGCTGGGACCCAAGCCCCAGAGCACAACCCACTGCCATCCAGGAGCCACTGGTTTGGGTCACCCACCCCAGGATGGGCAATGCTGAGTTTTAATGCTTCAATTTGCATTCTCACACAGAATTTTGATCTTAAGTCTTCCAAAGCTAAGCTGAACTCTCACTGCTACATACCAGGCCACAGAGGCTTGGATCATTCTATCCTTTCTGCCACAGGTTGTCCTTGACAAAGTGGCATATGGGTATTTATGAATAAAAACTCTGAGCTGAGGCATTTAGGAATCAGAAAATGGGGAAAACTTGTTCCACTTACCATTTCCTAGGGAAGCACTGATCAAGATGTATATTGGCAGTTCTTGCTCTTGATGCCAATCTCCAAAAGGGAGATTTCATGTACAATGGCTGGATGGAGCCCAGGAGGGGAAACCAGAGGGTGGCATACCCCAAAATGTTGTCAGTGAGGGAATCAGAGAGGGGGAACTTGCCTTTCAAGCCAGGATGTCTTGTTCCAGTTCTGAGTCTGCAAGAAAAAACCCACTGACCACATCAGTATAACTCATGGCAAGTGAAGTCTCATTCAGCTGTGGAACTGGACTGGGGGCTTTTTGGCACAAATGTAGGAATTTTTTCCAACCCTTTTTATTTTCTTTTGATAGAAATCAATATACAAAAAGATTATTTTTTTATTATTTTTTTTTGTGTGTTGTAATTGATAGGTTGGCATACTGAGGTCATGTCTACTACAGGGCACAGGCAAGGTCAAAACCAGAATTACTTTAGCCATGCTTAGCCAGGATGTCCCAGCAACATGAATGGAATCACACTGGGATATATTGAGAGCTGCTGCTGTACTGCATGGTGGTGTTTTAAATAATGCAGCAATATCTCCTTGCCTAAACTGTACAAGAGCACATTGCTCAGTTTCTTGCTTTAGGAAGTAGATTTTTTGAGACCTTTTAGAGCAATGAAACCTTGAAAAACATGTTATTTCATACAACACAGGAGAATCAGCAGCCTATGACAATTTTGTTTTCTGCTATAAAGTTGTTAATTGCAACATTGTATTTTCATGACACATAGGAGCACTTAAACATATTAACACCAGAGAAAGTCAGTCAGACTTTTCCATTAACTATTCCAGAAACTCTTTGAAAAGTCATCCTATTCCCACACTAAGCTGACTTCCTGGTGCAGAAAAACACCCATTTATCAGATCTGAACATGGGTAGACATTCCAGTGAAACCGAAGCGTTTGGAACAATTTGAGGCAGTCTCTGTATTTTTTATTTACTGGGAAGGAAGGTCTGGGTGCTCGAGTAGGAGGCGTTTGGGTGGATGGCTGTTGGGAACATGTTGGACTCAGCTGTGCTCCCGGGGAGATGTCAGCGCGTGAAACCAGCTCCTGAGAACAACAAATAGAAGTTCCCGTTTTGCAAACGGGAACAGCGCTCCGACACGACGCCTCTCCCCGGCACCAGAAATGCACTGACAGATTGCTTGGGGGAAGAGAGAGACAGAGAGAATAACGGAGAGCTGCATTGCTACCTTCCACAGGAAAGGACCATGGGATGCTCTCTAAGGATCTCCTCTTGGAAATGACCCAGCAGTCTCATCCTTGAGACAAAAATGTCTTTTTGCCTCCTTCACTCTGTTCTCAGAACACAATACGGATTAGGATGTAAACTTTAGGGGAATTGATGTTTGCTAAATATTGGAAAAGCCTCTGGGGGTTTCCAAAAGTTCAAAGGTCAGTTATCTCAAAGGATATTAAGTTCTCTGACTGACCATGGGCCTTTCCACAATATCGCTCTGGTGCCTTACTCTCCGTGTACAAGAAGTCCCTGAGATGTGGGACTGGCAAAAATTATCCCATGTACATCCCCAAATACAGGGATGGAATATATTATATTACCTCATTCGACTTTCCTCTGCTTCCTAAAGCACTTTGATCATTCATATTCTCTTGAGAAATCATCAACTAGAACAACCAACATCTTCCAAAAGTCCAGACAACGCACAAGTCTGCCTTAACTTGCAGTGCTGCTTAGGGATTCAGGCTGAGTGCTACAGCTGAGCTCTAGAAGGCTTTGGTTCTCATGAACAAAGCAAAATACGGGAACAATTAAGATGCTTGTAATTGTATTTCTCCTATTATGCTTGTACAGTATCAAAAAAAGTTCAATAGTGTCAGACTAAGAATGTATATATCTATTAAATTTTTCTTTTAATTATATTAAATGGGTGGTTCCATTGCTTTCATCTTCATCTGTTTGGGTTCTCTTAAATGCAAGGTAAGTTTTCTATTATGCAAGAAAATGAGTTTACCAAGCAGACTGGGATTTCCAGGCACTGCTCTACTATAATTCACTGTAACTGAGCATTAATCATGATTAATAATCTATCATTCCTGTGGTTTAGGAAAATAAAAAGGAGGACTTTATTGAGAAACTGCCCTTTCTCTTAGCATACTTCATATAATTGCACAATGGAACAATTCTAGGGAATTCATTATTCTGCTGGTAATGATCTAGATTTCCTTAACATTGCACACGAATGGGAATCGTTGCCATCTGATGGATGTTCCATGGCCTGTACAAAATGAGTTGGTGGGTGCAAGCCAATTCATAATGGATGTGTGCCCATATCACAAAAAACACCATTATAATTGGTACCCTTAGGAAGAATGCCAAGGTCTGAGTGTAAACAGAGCACTTTCTGTCCCAAGAGCTTGCGCTTCCGTGGTCAGAGTTGAAGCACGAGAGAATGAGCAATGCTGAACTGCATCTGCTGCCTCTGTACAGGGCTGTGCTCCCCTGAGGTAGCACTTGGCATCTTGGGCCCTCTGTAAAATATGAAGAAAGCTCACACTGAAGGGCCACAGTTGTGCCTCTGCCCCCACCATCACTAAACTCATTGTGGAGGTTGTGCAAGTATAAAATGGAGTGGAGGCAGTCATTGCTACAGTCCATAATTTGTTCTCTTTCTAAGTGTTTCCAGAAAAAAAAATATTGTCACTAAATGAGAAGAGTCTGTTCACCTTGTTTGAAACCTTCCTATCAGAAAATGCTGAAAGTCATTGACTCACCACCTCCTAGTGCTTTCCAGTGGGAGACACCATTTCTCTTGTATTGAAGAGGGACCAGGAAAGACATTCACAGCTCATTGGAGTACACTGCTTTTAAAAAATAGAGAGAAGAATGAAGACATCTCAGGGACAGTCTATTGATGGCCTGCATGAACAGAGCAGTTTAAGCAGCAAAATAATATTGGAAAAGTCTTTTTCCTTATTAGAGAAACCTGTAAATCAATCATTTATTGACACATTCACACCACAGTATATTGGAATGACCATGGTGAAAGGAGAGGAAAAAACCCTGCCTTATCCAAAGGCATGGAAAAATCACCATCAGTGTCATTAAGATGCAGACTCAATTTACATTGCCAGCTTTGCCATGCTTCCTACAAAGTAAAAAATAATGCCAGAGAGCAGTGAGGAAAATATTATTAGATCAACTGTATAAAAAGCATGAATGATTCCATTAGCAAGCACAGCTGAGAAAAGACAGGATTTAAATCAAATCTAAATATGATAAGATTATACAGTCAAAGTGACATGTCCATTATAGAAAACATACAGAAGAAGCAAAACAAAAGCAGAACTTTGGTTTTATGCTGTAAAACATTCTCCATCTTACAAAGCATTTAAAAACCTGATGGAAGCATTCTGTCAGCTCCTCAACTTTATATGGTGCTTGTTCTAGGTGAGTCACAAACGTGCAGATAATTTAGAAAAACACCCTTTGCTCATCTCTCTTGCAGTATATTTGCATCATTCTTCCCTTCAGAGAGTCACTGTGTTGTATCACTTGATACAGTCATCACACAAACCCTTCTAATGGAACAGCAAAGCTGCCCACCCAGACACAATCCCACTTCCTAAAAACTTTTGGGGTATTGTAACCTGGTGCTGCTCCACATGGAGGGAGAAGAAAAATGTTCCAAATTTTGGTGTTAAATGAGACAGCCAGTAGTTTAAAATTAAAGGATCAGGTTTTCTAATACTTTCTCTTTTGGAACAGGAGAGCTCAGCCTCCACTTCATGAGGCTTTTCATCAAAAATACAGATGGAAAAAAATTTTTCTCCAACAAGCATTTTTTGGATACTACTGTCAAATAAATTCTCCTGTATATGTGTATGGAGAGAAAGGGAGAGAGAGAGAGAGAGAGGCAAAGGATGGAGACATAGAAAGGCACAGGGTATCTTTGAGTAATGTAATTGAGAGCAGTTTTTCCTCACTTGTGATCTCCAATTGCTCTGTGGAGTTTTCTCTTGTTGAGGTAACTAATCCTTGTGATTTCTGCTGTACCAGAGGCAAATGAGCCATGGGATGAAAGCAGGATGAGACTTTGCCCCAGGTCTCAAAGATCTCTGGTTCCTCATGTGCTGCCCACTCCTGTCCTTGTTTACATCCAGGTGGTCTCTCTGATATAAGTTTTATTTGTAAGGGATTTCACCACAGCTCAAAACCAAGACTGGAGAAGGACACACATCATTATTCATCTTCTCAAAGATATAATCAAATATTAATCCATTTTAAACCCCTCAATTTTACTATGCATTTCAATTTTTCCTGTAATCTATAACCCGTACACACCATAAAGTCATCACTGAGAGGGGAAGCTGGAAAAATCCAGCTACCTTTCCAAATGGAAATCAGAATATATATTTTTAGCTACATTAAGCCAACTGCATGCAGCTCTGCACACTTATGTAATTCCCACATAAAAATAATCCATAATATTCCAGAGGAACAAATCCAATTCTTAGTCATATAAATTTTCATATAAGTCCATCAAAACCTATTCCAAAAATGTCTCAGTCTTTTTGAGTGCTAGAGTTGGAACAAAAGAGCGAGTCCTTTAAAATGCCTTTGGAGCTTCCAGGGATGTTAAATCTAATTGCCCTTAGCATAGCACCGATCCACAAAGGTTTAAGTCATGGAAAATGTATTTTACCTTTATACAAGGTATACTATGCAAAGTTTATCGTGGCACAGTAAAGTCGTGTCTAACTTGCTTCGTGCAAATTTCAGACAGAAGGAAATTAACCTTTGATGCTTCACTTTGACTAACCAGGACAGAAAAATGTGTCTTCTCACTGCAGACACACAATATTGTATTAAATGATATGATGCAGCATGGTAGGATATGATAAAATGTCCATTTGTGCACTTGGGTCTACATGCACATGTAGAAATCCATATTTAAACTCACAGATATTTATAGCAGTGTCTCTGTGCTCCAGGAAACAAGAAAGGATGGAGAGTATGCAAAGATTAATTGTGATAGAAACCTTCTTAAGACAAAGCCAGAACCAACGCTATTTGTTAATACCCTTAGAAGCTGCATAATCATCCCAGCTGAGGCTGAGGATAAATTTGCCAGTGAAAGGGTTGTTCATGACAGAGGGATCATTTGCTAAAGCAGACCTGGCAGCACCATGGGGGCTGGGAAATGCTCATTTCCCTGGAGAGTTCCACGGGTCCTCTTGCTTGAGGGTATTTAATTTTCTAAAATCTATCTGAACAAATATTTTCCCCTAAGCTCCAGAATCTCTGGTGGAATAAACAGCTCTGGTTTTGCCCAGAATGACTGTCACAACCCCTGTTTATAGGCATAGGAGTAACTACGTCTGAGCCAGAGCTCCTAACTTCACAGACAAAAGAGGGAACACTACAAGACTGCACAGTCTGCCATGGGAAAGCAGAACAAAGGGACCAAGGATGTTTTTTTTTTCCCTCAGAGAACTTTATTTCTCAGCTAGAAACCTGATCTGCAGCGAGGGGAGCCAAGGGACAAGCCGTGTTTATAACACAGCCAAGGATGCCGTTCCCTCAGCTCGGTCCCCCAGCGCACTCAACACCCCTAAGCTACATCTGCTCTAAAAAGGCCCAAGAAAACTTAGGCAGTCTTAAAAAAAAAAAAAGAATTTTTTTTTTTTTTTTTTTGCAATGGCACGTCTTCTTAACCAGCATCATGGAAAAGTCGTGCTGCTCTGCATATAGCCTTCAGGATTGTGTCTGTAACACTTGAAATGCTGCCCAAGTCTGGCTCCGCTCGCGCTAACAGGTACTCTGTGTGCTTCTGCATCTTTTCCTACAAGCAAATGTTGCAACTTTCCCATTGCGACAGCTGTAAGAGGCATTCACTTTACTCTGTTTTTCCTTAACACTCCCGATTCCTTTTATATCTAGTTGGGAATACACTCAAGCGCTAATGGCACTTGTTCAGCCATCCAGGGAAGGCGCAGCGTCGCCTTCCGAGCTATTTGTATTTCTTCATTTTGGCAATCTGAACTTTGCCAAGATCCAAATGCCTGATATTTAACTTAGATTCCTCCCTCTTAAGGTCAGGAGGCACCAGTAATATTATCTGGCAACACGAAATAGATGTCTACTTGGAGAAAGGAGGTTTTAAATCAATCATTCCTCCCTCTTACTCATGTAAGGAAGAGGATTTCAGGTGCCAGGTAATTAAGTCACCACTGACAGATGAGACAGGTGACAGACCTGCATCCCTATTCTATCACTGCTAGTTTGGTAACCTCAAGGGATGTGGCTCCTGCTGCACGATGGGGATCTACAGGTCTGGTGTTTGTAAATCGCTCAGAACAAGCTCCTTCTGCCACTGCCTGATGGAAAAGTCCCAAGGGGATGAGCAGAAATGTAGCTCCTAAGGTTCCAAAGACATTGTTTCATGGAAGAGGACCTGCTCTGGGGTTTTAGACCAACAGCTCTTCCAGCTCTCATCCCCGTGGGGTGGCTCAAAGCACAGGGAACAGCATCAGTGCAGCCCTGCACAGCAGAAAATAGACCAAACCACCTTACGAGCCACTTTCAAATCTTTGGATCCATGTGGGGAAAGTGGCTTGAGAGGTATAAGAGGAAATGGCATTAAAAGCCCTACAAAAGCCATTGGTAAGGTAAAGCCAGCAGAGCTGCAGGGGAGCTAAAGGAGCGTGGCGACAGCCAAAAATTTCAGAAACTCCTTCAGCAACCAGGAGAGAGACAAACCACCACCCAGGCGGGTCTGACATCAGGGTTTTGAACAGGAGCCTTCAAAGTTTTTTTTATGAGGCTCCTTTTCGTGAGGCAGGGCACAGCAAATACTCCATTTAAGGTTTCCGTGGAGTAGAACCAGAAATATCCAGCCTTGCAAATATCCTCCCCAGCCAAGCGCGGAGCCGAGACATGCAAAATGAGCGCCCGTCAGCTCCGTGCCAGCGCAACAGAAGGCAGAAGTGCTTCAAGGAACTTGTGACAGGTTCTCTGGATGCACCAATTCGAGATGGGCCAATCCCTGCTTGAAATGTGCAAACTCTCACACTCCTTGGCATGACCGCACAGCCAAAATGCACATTTTTTTTGAAGGATTTAAAGAAA